GGACATTCATATTTTGGACAGAGAAGATAGTTTGAAAGAGGCGTGAAAGAAGCCATTTACGTCCACTGTGAACGACCATCTTTGAACAGAGGGCGTGGCTTAGGACACCAACTGTCTGCCAGTTTTGAGATCCCTTCTCAGATGCCTTAACGCCCACTCACATTTTAGTCATTTGATTTCAGTAAGTCACATGATAGGGTGGGGCAAGGTCTCACAGTGGGTTCACCCGAAACCTTGGCTGATAGTGACCCATTATAACACCCATTATAACACCACATCCTACCTTAGTGTTGTTGCCTATCATGTCCACTTACTACCACAATGTACACATCTTATTCTAGCAATGTATAATTAATGAAGTGGCCAGTGAGCGTATGCAGATATAAATGTAATTTTAAGTATGACTTTATATCCAATAATTTTGGGGTTGGTGAACACAACCATGGGAGAAGGAATAGGTGGAGTTCCTTACACCGTTCCTGGACAGTGCTGAGTTAACTGTGTGTATGTGTTTCCACATGCGCGCATGTGTGTGTGTAGGTGAAATAAGTCTATTTCACATGTGGAGCTTTGATGATTGTTTCTATACAGTACTTCAAATTATTGTCTTTTGTTTCTATACCAAAGCTAGTATTTTGCACTCAGACTTTGCAGGTCGGACAGCAGGATTTGTCTGCAGAGCAGTCAAATGTGGGATAGTTGAATTCTATACGTTTATAGAAATGTTACTTATCTAGGGAGCCATTGTAACCACTGTTAGTGTGTCCACTAAAAGTGTCTCAGTCTAAACTTTACACACCTAAAACCTTAACATGACAAATTACAAAAAAACACCCATGGTCAGACCTGGCATCAGTAACAAATTCACATTGCACATTGGAAGATGCTGTAGCTTATATCTCCTTAATATACAGACATGTCATCCCAGAAATGATGGGTTGGCTTGAACACTGTCTCAGAAAGTTCTGTTTATGTTGTTTTTGTTGTTTTGACTTTTTTTTTTTATCCAGTTGTTGTTCAGAATAAGGGAACAACTGGGTTTACTGACACAAAATGATCTTTCTCCTTTTTTCTACAAACCTCAGAGTAATACTGGAGTCACACAGCAAGCATGCATCAGCTGTTCCTGGATGCAACCGACTACTGCTGTTACAGGTTTGATGAAAGGGACTCAGACTCAGCCATATACTAATCAACCATGCAGTAAAACCACATGATGAAGAAAAGTAGCCTCTTCATAAGGCCTATGATGTTCAAGCTGTGGGCAGTACTTTGTGGGAATATTAATAAGGTCTCAGTGGGTCCGATATGACATTTTGTAAGAAATAAGATACGATGTGGCAGCAAAATTAGTTTGAACAGGAAGGATCATCTCCAGCAGATTTCTTACATTAAATTAATTGGTACTGCATTACACGTTTTTGGAATTTTTATGTCTGAAAATAAAAATCATGTATTATCTAAATAAGTGCAAACCATTTAAAAATATTTTTTAAAGATGACATTTGATACTAAATCATTGCACACCCCATTGATCAGAAAATGCTTTTAATTACTAATAATTATTGCTTTTTCTTATACTTTTTAAGATAGGAATGATGTGTAAGTCCTTCATTAATAATCTTCAGGCTATATAGAAGAATGAATGTCAAGAAAATAACAGATAAATCACTTACATTAGTTTGTGTTAGATTCGTTGGCTGCACATCCATAATGTCAATCTCCCATTCCACCACATCCCAAAGGTGCTCTACTGGACTGAGATCTGATGACTGTGAAGGCCATTTGCCTGCCATGTGATTGGCTGATCCACAGCCACTTTAAGTTCACCCAATCGGTTCAATGACTTGCAGTAATGAGTCACTGAATCAGTTGGGTGTTGAGTGTGGAACGTAGAGCAGCTTTATTTTTTGAGCAGTAAGGGTATTCCATATCATTTAAGTGGTGCTTGACCATTAACTTGTTCATGCTTTATCCTTTTCTGCTTAAGGCTCAGGTGAAACCTCTACTCTTTTTCAGCAATTTGAGGCATGATCTCATTCGGCTAAATTGTCTAAAAGTCCAGTAAACAAAGCAAATGGGGGAAAAAACACATACATGTGTATTTTGGATGTTGCTTCCCTGACTACTCTGAAATAAAACATGTTATGAAAAAAATCTTAAAATCACTGATGCATAGTTATTATAAATTTCCAGGATAAACAAAATCACTTAAGGAGTTATGCAAGAAGAATTTGCCTGAATAGCTTGGTGGACACATAATGTGCAGGCTTAAACCTAATTTATTTTTCAGGCACAGAGACACTCTCTGTAGACATGGAAAATGTGAGTGTTTCTGAATGCTGATATCTATTTGTTTTCTTGTGTATTTAAACTACTGTATAACATTTGTTAATTAACAAACGGAAAAAAGACTTATGGAAACCACCCCCACTTTGCATGGTTCGATTATCTCTGAAACCTAGGGCCAGTGGTGCCATCTAATTGAAACCACAAGATGGCAGTATATGCACACTGAAAAGTTAAAGAACGGCCAACTCTCCGTGCAGACGTTGTAACAACATTTAAAGCTGCTTTCAATGTGAAACATAGAAATGGTCTGCTCCACTAACAAAGTTTCATGGTGAGGATAAATTTACCCTTATTAGGTCTGAGCCCCTGTGTCATTGTGATAGTTGTGAAGTTCTCAAATTCTATGCAGTATTCAGCACTGGTTCTTTGTATCCCTATAACCTCTGACTTTGATATGAGATTTAATTTGTGTCAATTGTCATTCTTTGTTGAAAATATCTTAAACATATATAAATATATTTCTACCTAAATCACCTTTTTACTGATAATCCTTGAAGCTGTTTATCACAATCAGACATGTGTTAATATGAACTCTACCTTTAAAAAAAAGCAAATACAAGAAAAAGCTATGTCAATGTAGAATTGAAATGCTCACACTATTAAAGTATGTAATTCAATCAAAAAGCACAAAAAAACAAACCCATTCAGTCAGATTTTCTGTGTGTGGTATGATGATTTAAACAGATCAGCTGCGTTATCAGTACAAGGAAAATTCAAAATTTATATTATTTGGCATTTGGGGCTTTTGATTGTATATCCCTGTGGCTATTCTTTGACCAACTTGGAAGACTCGATCTCTCATTGTCTGAGAGGATTAGCGAGGCATAATGCCACAAGGCTTGTGTTTGGCTAGATGAAGAGTGTTAACACATTGCTGGCAGTCATGCAGACAGCCCTCCAGGGATTGAAGGAATAAAGGTCTTTCAAGATAACAAGATTTCAAGAGCTTGAATTGAAAGAAGGTCCAATTTAATTTCATAGCTGAAGGTTTCATTTAATGGTGACGTCTGACTCCACTTTTAGCCTTGGAAAAACAAAAAACAAAAAAATTCTGAAAATTATAATGTGCATACCAAATATGTTTCTTCTAAATCACATGTCGGTGTATCTCTGGATTTATGCGATCTACCTATGAGTGTGAATTTGGTCCGGCACACTGCATGATTGCAGATTAACAAAATAATAATTACAGCATGATTGTACTGAATCACTGCTCAAGTTGGCCAAGACTAATGCTTGAAATATAAAGGCTGAGCTGTACTGTATCTTTGTGTTCTTATTTTTCTGATTTTGATGTCTGTGAGACATGCTTTCTGAGAATAACATCAATCAAACTGCAACAGTCAGGAGGTTAAGCCTGTCTAATTGTCATGTGACTCCACTTCTATGGATTTGCAGAGGATGAGCATGGTCCTAGCAGTCTGGAGGCAGGAACACAGACAGAGGGAAAGGTTAATACCACTTGTGGCTTTTTATCCTATTGCCATCATTTGGTCATGTAACACAATTGTCCTCAAGGGTACGAGTTCCACACGCATAACTACTGAATAACAACATGAGGTATACAGCAGTTTACAGTTGGCATCCACCAGGAGCAATCTTTAATATCCTGCAGTTTACTGTCAATAGTCTGAACTATTACTGTTTTCTATAATTTATGAGTTTCACTAACAGGGGGCACAAAAAACCTTTAATGCTTCATGTTGAGGAACTCTCCCTGATACTGTATGTGTTCAGGGATCAAACTGTAGGTTTGAGGAGAGCACTTGAGAAGCGTGCAAAAGTTTCTGGTAGTTGCATCACGTTACCGTGTTGCTGTTTGCATCATACAAGATGTTTGGGACTGAACAGTGGGTTTAGCTTGCTTTTACAGTGGAAATCAAAGAGACAAACAAGCAACAATATAAAACACCCTCATTTTACTGTGATCATCGACTTCTGACTGAACTTTATTCCATGATAGATAAACAATTTCTTGAATCCTGGACATCCTACATCATAGGATGTGGAAAAATGTGGACGATTATTACTTTTTTTTAATTGCTAATGTTTTCCTTAGCTATGAGGGTTCGCCACAGTATCCAGTATCCATTCTCTGCAAGTCTAAACTATCTCAGCTTTTCCTCTCTGTCTCCAAAGCACTCAACCTGAGATGTCCCTCTGATACACTAATTTCTAATCCTCTAATTAGGTCATTTAAACTAGACCATACATCACTAAAATAAAGCCTGGGTTTGGCCAATTAAATAAAAAAAGGCGGTTGTAGCCTACTAAACTGATTTAAAGACCTTTCTTTTATTCTATTTATATGTGTGCATTTATACTGAGTTGTTTTACCCATTTAATTAAGAAATTATATTTAAGCAACCTGTCATTATCGCCTGTCACTTTCTGTTTAATATTTCTATAAGAGAAAAACTGTCACTTGGCAAACTGAATTAAATCTAATATATCTATCTAATACAGAGAGAAAAGCTTGGATGCAAGTAAGACCTACACACAAAACCTATCGCGCAGGAGATACTGGCTGAATAAAACGAACAACCCTAAAACTGAAGTAGGATTGACTGACACTTCAGGCAGCCAATCAACTCCCTCTAAACTATGACTCGAGTCACCGTTTGCGGTTCCGTGATTGCTATTGGTTGGATTAAACATGGGAAGCTGACGTAATCATTGCGCGGGTCTGTCAAAAAAAGTATCTTAATTTTACCCACCTAACGCTTCTGCTGAAACTCGTAATGACTGTATGGCTTTCAGTTAATGTTCGGGTGAATTTTGTAAGTCTTCGGGAAAATTGTTACGTTTAAGGCGCATTTTTTTAGTTAACGGAAAGTAGAGCATTACGTGACAGTCAATAAATTGGATTAGCGCTAAGTCAAGTCACCGGTGAATGATAGTATTGTAAACCTGGCTAGCTAGCTAAACGGACAGGTGAGACTGAGCACTAAACATTAAAAACGCTTGGACCTAGTGTTGTTATGTGCTAAGCATTTTCCTTTGTGTGGTCCTCTAGCTCTTCTGTCGTCTGCTAACGTTGCATGCAATAAAAGGTTTAGGTCTTCAGTAGCTGTCAGCTGGTGTAGAAGTCATTGGGTCATCATGGAGAGTTACAGTCAGCGGTTTGAATCCACCACCGGACGGGACAGTAAATCTCAAAAGAAGAAGGGCTCCACTTCGTCATACACCGATGACGGAGACCGCAAACCAAAATTTGTAAGTATGAAAAGACTAAAACGAGCTTTGGTTTTACTCTAACGGTATGATACAGAAAGCATTTGATAAACGCTGCAAATAGATGGTCACTCAGTGTGTTATGCTTTCCCTATGATACAACCAGCCACAGAGAAGGACATTGATGTGGACAGAACAGTACACGGGTAGATGGCCCTCCATATAAAGAATGTAGCAGACACCTTGGATCGGTATTTTCTATTACTTTCAGAACGACCAGTTTGGATAGACAAACAACCACGGTTAGACCTCGTGGTGAAGATGTGTCATGCCTTCGTAATGTGCTTGCATGTCTGGGGAGGCTGAGAGAAACGAACAGTTAACAAAGCACAGGAGGCTACACAAGTAATGTTTTATATGGTAGAATTTCTTCGACAGCCATAACCTTGAGTGTTTGTTGACTTTGCATGTAGGAAATCAAAAGGTTAAAATTAGCACAGGGTTTAGCTGACAGTAATCCATGCATTCCCTCCTACAAACAAGACAGCATTTAGTGTCTTTGGTATTTGTCGGTTGTTGTTCTTCAGCTAGTCTAGCTGTGTAAACAAAATCATGTTATTTTTTTGTTTGTTTACACAGCTAGACTAGCAATTAAAAAAACAACAACACCCCCAAACCCTTCTCATTTTCTGATAGGAGACTTGCTTGTGACACAGATCTTTTTAAAGCATGCTCAACCTGTGCTTGAGAGTGTTACTCCAAGTCAAGTTCCTGTGGCCACTGTTCAGAGACTCCAGTGGAAAATGAAGCAAAATTTAGTCTTTCTCAAATGGTTTCTGTCCACTCCCACTGATGACCTGTTCGTTTAACATCTGACAATGCAATCCATAATAGGAATTCGGATTCACCTTCTTTGATTAGTGTACAGTGCTGGATGAAAGTTAAGTTTGAAGCATAAACATGTTTATCTACAGTGTATAAGAATTAAAACCTGATAAATTAACTCATTGATTTAATATTTGAGAAATATGTTGCAAACACATTACCAGAGTCTCTGGTAACTTGAGATGGTCATTGTTATCTGGTCACTTTATATAAAACTGTAGCTAATTCTGATTGGCATGCTACGGTAACATTTAATGTCTACTCATTCAGCATAAATGCAGGAAACCTATTAAAGTGAATTTTAAATGGTGTTCAAGAAATAAATCATGGAGTATCTACAATGTTTCTATCCGTCCTCCAAATCCTTTACTAGACATATTTGATGTAGTCAGGCTATGCTACTTCTTTATATTTTTATTACTAACATAATTTAATCTAGTTTTGTTATACATTATTTCTTGATATCTTTAGACAAGTGGATAGAAATTGAGTTTCAGTGGTTCGAAATATGCCATAAAAACTTGAGTCTGAGCCTGCCTGTTTAAAGGTGACTGTAGTACTTTGAATCCATCTGCAGGACCTTGCTGAATCTGTGATCTCATGGATATGTAGTTGGGAAAGCAAGAGGACAAAGCCTGTTCTTTTTCCCCAGCCAGGTTTCTTTTAGATTGCTTGATCCAAGACAAAGGTGTTGGAAGCCTTGGTCTGCATTCAGTCTAAAATGACTGCACCAGCCAGATGGGACCAAGAGCTCTCAGCAAATCTTCCTTCCATCAACCAGAGGTGTTTGGCGTAAACAAAGATGTCCAGTCAAGTGTTGCACACCTTTCTGAGATTAATTTAGAAGGCTTTTATTTTATTGGCTAGTCTGCTAAAAAATGTTAAGACAACTTTATAATTTCTGTTTAAGCAAAACTCTTTGTTCCATAAGTAACTTTGCTCATTGAAAATGTACAGCATATAGCATAGTAAAATCTCAGTGGACTTCATCTCACATGGAATGAGGCCTTTTGATGTCTTTGCTGTGACTCCGCTCAGGTGGTAATTTTTAGAAGAGTGTTTCAGTGCCTAATTTGTAAGTTAGGAGGATCTGCAACACAGGGAGGGTGCAGTTCCGGCATGATCCGACACAAAGTAATCCCTGAGTGTTAGTGTCTGTCTGGATGAGAGACACCAAGTTGCTTTCACAGGATCTTTAAATTAGGAGTGCCTGCCTCTTCTTTTAAAGAGGAAATACCAAAGAAGCGAGGTTTTCTTCAGTTGATAGAGTTAACTACATGTTAGTCAATTTTTCGATGACATCCAGTTTCAATAGAGGCAGTATCACAAAGCCTAAGGAATGAGTTGTTGCTGTGGAAACAAAAGTCATCTTAAAGCCAACGCCTGCTTTACTAGGATCTCCAACATTTTTTGAATGCCTCATGGTAAGGGGAGCAATGTAGACCACCCCCATCTATATATAACACCCCAAACATGCTGGTTTTATTCTTGATTCACCTTCTTGTCAGAATAACATCTGGATTTCTTGAGATTTCTCCATCTTTGTGTATTTAAAAAAAAAAAAAAATGAGTATTGAAAAACTGCAGCTTGCATTAGTGGGCTTTCTTTTACAGCTTCTCGTGACCTTTGCTTTTGCCTCTTGAAAGCAGAGGTCACCACCATCTCCTCTGCCACAGCTGTAATGCAGGATGTTAGTTTTCTTAATGAGTTAACTGAAATGTTTGTCTGCTGGTAAATGTGCTATATCCGTAGTGTGTACTCTCCCAAAGATTGTTCAAAAAGCACTTTATATCTGGTGGTGGAAACATGTCAGATCAGTGTGTTAATGTAGTTGTGAGATGCCTTTTTGCCCTTTTTTTTTTTCTTTTCCCCAAATGGACTAACTGAAGGACTGGAATTGCTGTGGCCATAATGAATTTTACTTTATCAGTAATTACAGTGTTTGGCAAGTTCTTCTTTCATCACAAAAATGTCCTTTATATAGTTTTTAATTGGTAGTTATTTTGTTGTGTGGCTTTTTGGCCAGTTCCTATCATATTCCAGCAGAGGTAGAACTAAAATGATAAAGTGATTACCGTTGTTATTTAATTAAATTGGAAAATAATATTTTTGAGAAAGACCTCATAGATGACTATATGTAACATGTGTTAAGGAAATCGGTTTTGTGTGGCTGAAAGAAAAAAACAACAGTATATTGAATTTTTAAATAGTCAAATATCTGTTTTGGAATAGGTCTTAAAATTTGTATTGGTCAGGCTCCATGTAGCAGTTAATTTGTGATAGAAATGTTGTTTTATATGGTGACCATGTAAAAACCTGATAACAACAAAAAAGTCCTGCCAAAATCAATAACCCACACACATGCAAATATTCTAACACTGGCAAATGGTAAACAGTTTTGCCTAGAGGCAACTTTGTCAAAAATGTCATGTTTGGTACTTGGTGATGCAAGTTTCTGGGACATGTGCTATAATAAATAAATTAATTTATTTAAATCAGCTGTATATCTGGCACACCATGGACATTTGGGAAGGAAAACACATAGTCAGGCCAGTTCTATTAAAGGCAGCGAGTCTTTGCTGATTTAATTGACAGAAGAAATAAGTGCATCTTCCTGATATTTTTGGATCATTCATTAAATGGTAAATGGCCTGTATTTGTATAGTGCTTTACTTAATCCCTAAGGACCCCAAAGCGCTTTACGCTACATTCATTCACCCATTCACACACTGGTGATGGCAAGCTACATTGTAGCCACAGCTGCCCACAGCTGCCACTGACAGAGGCGAGGCTGCCGGACACTGGCGCTGCCAGGCCCTCTGACCACCACCAGTAGCCAACGGTTGAAGTGTCTTGCTCAAGGACACAACAGTTAAACAACATTAAACAGAAACTTCTATTATGTGCATGAGTATGCAGACCTCCCTGCCAGTTGTTGGACTGGTGTTGATGTTTTGCAGAGTCGTACTGTCCACTCCATTTAAAGAAGCATTTTTTAAAAAATTGAATGTGAATGTAAAACGCCATTGTAACTCTTTGAATGTCAAAATAAGTGTAACAGAGTAGGGACAAATCAATACAGACATTTCACTGTCTCTATTCTTTTTAGATTATGCTGTATGCTGCAAAGAATGGGGCACAAATGTTTAACTGAAATGAAGCAAATTCTTGAAGCCTGAATGTAAAAATGTGCTCCAGAAGTGTTTGTTAGAATATTTGGTGCTTTTGCTTTGTGTATCCTGATTTGTTTCTTTTTGCTCCCCACTTATAGCACTTACCCTTTAGAAACATCACAGATGATGTGGTAAGCTCTGACAAACTGATATGCTTCTGTGTGTGCTTTGTGTCATCGATCTCTGCAACATCTAACGTCACCTTACTTGAGGTCACTGCTTCTGCTTATTTTGAGCATCATTAACAAAACCAAAACAGTCAGGCATTGGAGCCATTAACATCATAGGACAGACTTCTTGTTTGTAGTTTGTTTCATATTACTAGCATTGCATTCTAGTTTATTAATAACTGTTTTTTTTTTTATTCTGCTTGACTACTAACCATTTAAATGTGCTCATAATCATCTAAACTTGACTCCAAGTCTGGAGTATTTTTTTTCTATTTTTAATTGTGCTTTCTTTCTTTCTACAGCTGGACAGATTTGCCAGTATTCGGATTCCCGGTAGTAAAAAGGAGCGCCCACCCTTGACACAATCTAAGCACAATGCAAACGACTGGTCCAGTTCTTCATCCTCCACCTCACATCATTTTGAGGAACTATCGTCAAAGATAAACTCAGAAAAGGAGATCTTGGCTCTTTTTGAAAAGATGATGGTGTGTTCTTACTTTTTGTACAACATTTTCACATTTCATTAAAAAAAAGTGCTACCAGGGACTAAGTGATAAAGATATTCAAAAAGACAAATAATCAATTTAACACAAGTGATGATATTTTTCAAACTTTCATTTTAGTTCAGTAATTTTATGATCATGGCCACAAAGCAGCTGATATTTGGTTGCTGACGCTAGAAACAGTGCAGAATGCTAATGTCTTCCAGAGTCAGTTATGCATTCAAAAACAACATCAAATTTTGGCCACAGTAATGTTGTAGTTTTTTTTTCTCTTTTCTTTTTTAGGAAGACATGAACTTGAATGAGGACAAAAAGACTCCTTTGAGAGAAAAAGACCTCAACACAAAGAAAGAAATGGTCATTCAGTATATATCAACTGCCTCTAAAACTGTAAGTTTTTAAATATTTAAAATATTTCACCTATTTTGAGTTTAAATTAACTGACATTTTATATTTATGTGGTTGAATGTTTGCATTGAAACGTATTGCTGATACTTTTAATTAGCAGTGTCTAGCAGCCTGAAGAAGTTTGAGTTTCATACTTTCTAACTTTTTTGAGTGGAAGGTAACTGGTTGAGTTTTGGTTTGTGAGGTACCATCCACACGTGTTTTGGTAAACATCGCTTTTTCTGTGCGTTTTGGCCTTTTTGGAGTTTGAAGTCACAGAAAATGAAGCTTTTGAAACTGTTTCTGTATCAAATTTGAACTTGGAAAATGATTGTGTCACGCAACATCACATGTGCGTGCATTTATCTCCTTTTTAAACAGAAGACTATGACCCATGATATTGTTTATAGGCCTTTGATTGGCCAGCTTTTCTGCAGTTAGAGGTATATGACCAACACTTTTGACAGCATGTGACATATATTTTTTGCATTTTTATGTGGATGGAAATCTTTTAAGAACAAAAGTGGAAAATCCCGCTTTAAATGGTGCGGGTGGATGTAGCTTGAATTTTAGGGCTAAATATTAGAATACTTGTTCACTGGTTTTCAGTTTTTGGCACATGTTTAATTGTGTTCTTTAAATGTAGAAGGATATACTTGCCTTGAGTACTCAGCATCTCTCTCACTCACAACAGTTATCATGACACTTAAGTTAACATTGTTGTTGTGAACAAACAACAAAATAAAATGTATTTATTTATTTTTTTTATACCACTTAAGACCAAAAATACATTGTCAAAAATCTTTGAAGAGAAGTGCAACGTCTCGCTTTCCACATAGGCACGCACTCTGTTGAGTGAGCAGCAGAGGTGAATTAGCTCTTTGCATATCTGCATTATTCTTGTTGTGTTTTTGTTTTTTGGCCCAGACATGGAGGTGGATTCATTTTATTTTATGATTCTAGCAAATATTTACTGCAGGTAATAAAGAGTGACTGGGAAATAGGAAAACAAGTTATTTCTGTGACAGTCATATTATTGTTGATGGATCACAGTATGTAGCATACAGTATGAGGTACAGGATATTAAAGAATATAAATATTTTAAGATTCCACAAGTCATTGTAAAGCATCAATATATAATTTTTCTTACATGAAAAGGCTAAAAAAAGAACTTCCTGGTATCCAGACATTGTACTTGTCTTTTGCACTTCTTGTGTATTAGCTGAAGAAATGGGTAGGGGGGGAAAAAAAACAAATAATTGACATTGTGAACAGTAAGGCCTATTCGTATTTGATAGCTACAGGTTTCTGGTTAAGTTGCCATCATGTGTTGCAAAGAAGTATGAAATAAGTCCAAGTCCAAATTTCTTACATCCAAGTAAGAAATTTATTATATTTGTTATAACCAGACATCCCTTCAAGTTTGCCTTAGGCTGTCTATCCTTGTCTCTAGTTACCATGGTGACTGGCCTGCATTTGTTACCTTTCATACCTGCATGGTAAAAAAATGTGGGCACCAACCAAAAAACAGTGAAATTAATTTCTTTAAGAGAGCAGATTTATAATACTCTGCATTTAAGAAGTGGTTCATTATGTGTTTTTGGAGAGAAGTTCTGAGAAAAAGGTCAACATTTCTGCGGAAATGCGGTGTCACCGAGTTTAAAACACTAAGCAAGGTGAAGTATATATCAACAAAAATGTTTTTACTTTTTACACAAAGGAACTTGATGTTTTCTTGTTTTGCTTTTGCTTGTTTAACGTGCCATCAAAATAACAACAACAACAACGCGACCTTCTCAGTCATGTTGCTGTTTTGCCAATTGACCTTTAATTTTTAAACCGATGTATGCCACTTGCTTTTTTAGTCTGTGAATTTGGAGATAGCCTTGGAGAGAAACAATTTCCTTGTATGTTGTCACAAAAAATAATTGCTGACCTTTGACATTGTGTTTTGATTTATGTGCAATGCCCCTGCTGTGCAGGAAATTGAGTTTTGCCTTGCCTTAAATTGCTTTCAAAGAATCTTCAAAAATATGACTCCTCGATCAACTGAAGCTGAGCATGGGGAAAATTTATGTTAAGACCTGTCAAATGGTCAGAATCTGTGTAAAAGGGTTTATCCAAAATCCATGTGTATTGTTTCTAATTTGAAAATATAGCACATGGTTTAACACAGCGGTCCCCAACCCCCGGGCCTCGGACCGGTACCGGTCCGTGAGTCGTTTGGTACCGGGCCGCGAGAATTGGGGCTAGGTGTGAAATGTATGGTTTTCAGGGTTTTTATCGGTTTTCAGCGTTATTTTGTTATCATTTTTATCGTTAACTCGGTTTTCCTGGGTCTTTTCACGTATGTTATGAATAAATCTTTTTTTCGGTACCGGTACTAGTTTTATTTTGTTGTATTTATCCACGCCACCTTAAAGGCCGGTCCGTGAAAATATTGTTGGGCATAAACTGGTCCGTGGCGCAAAAAAGGTTGGGGACCGCTGATTTAGCACACAAAAGTCTACTGCATGGGCCTCAAACATGCAGGCGGGGGCTAGAATTGACCTACTAATGGGTCCATGTGCAGTAGGGCTTTGCCATATCGTATACCTAGAAGTTGTGAGTCATGGTTTGTCTGAGAGCATGTTAGCATGTCCGTCTCTGCTAACAACTTAATACCGTTAAAAAAAATAAGCAGCTAGTTCAACAACCTTCAGTAAAGAGCAATGCAAACACTTTGCAAATTTTAAAACAATTGTGCTAAAGGTAGAAACAACACAAATTTGTTTCACCATTTTATATTGGCAACTGGTGCAACCCTAAAGTAAACAAATTACTCAACCAAGAACTGATGCTTCCGCTCGCTAGTTGCACTCCTTAATGACAGGAAGTGCCAAGCTTGGGTGGAAATTATTATTATTGTTGTTGTTGCACAGTGGTAAAGCAAGATATTAAGCAGCTGGTTAGAAAACTTGACCCAAAATAACACAAACATCCCAGGTCGAAACTCTTTTTCAGTTTTCTTATCTGACAGTATTGTGAAGTTCCTACAGAGTTACATGAATAATTTGCCTTAGTTACTGTAGTGTTAAATTAAAGTTTTAAGCAGTCATGCTATACGTGTACGCTACTTGGGCTGCACTATGTTAGTGCTTACATTTGCTTTTTTACTATGTCATTTGATATAATGCTGTGTGCCACTAATATTGCACTACGATGCTTCTGCTGCTGGAAAGTTGTTTCAGTAGATTAACGCTTTGATTTAGATTGTGTCTCATCAGTGACAGTAGCTCATTGGCAAAGGTGGATAGAAAATGCTGTTCATTTACTTGAATTAATAAATGTTGCTACCCGCTATCTTTTTTTTCCTTTCGTCTGAAATATGATTATTGCAAATTTTCTTGAAATATTGTGATATAATTTTGAAGCTATACCACCCACCCATGCAAAGTGTGAAAATTCCAGGGAATTTGTTATATCTTAAATAGTTTAATAAATCGCACTGCTGTTCAAGGTGAAGTGGTCAGAGTATTACTACCATGGAGTGAATGTGTACAGAAAGTATATGCAGATCTTATCAGGCTGTTTTAATAATGACGTGTAAAGATAAATGAGTTTAGCTCTAAAATTTTGTGCATAGTCTCACTCCCATCTGTAGTGCATATTTAATATGACATCTTAGGCTTTTGTGTAAAAGTTTTGTAAATGAATGGTTCATTAACATTTTCAGACCTTACCTGTGCTTCTACATTAAAGGAAGGGTATGTTATTACGCTTTTTCATTTTTTTTAATAAACTGGTCTGTCTCACTTCAAGATCAAATTGAAGTATGTGGCCTTTTAACTAAAATGTCTTTGACACCCGTGGTCTATTGTATGTTAATACAATGCTCACATAAATGGTACATTATGAGTGCACATCATCCTTCTCCTGTACACACTAGCTTTGGGTCAAGTCTCTTTGAAATTCAGGGGGGTGTCTTCCAAAATGTATTTTCTGTGAAGGTTTCAAGAGTGGAGTGCATCCCTGACCAACCTTAGAACTCTAATCAGGCAGTATTAAAAAAACACTAAACAGTGACTCACTGGTCCATTTTGGCTATAACCTCAGTTGAAATGATTATTAAAAGAAAATCATGCATTATGCTCCAAGTGCACATTTTAACATATGAAGCTTTTAATGCATCTGGAGTCTATCCATGTTGGGTGGATGGACTTGCTGTCACTGGGCAAACAGGGTGCCACGAATGTTCCTTTGATAAGAAACACCAGAAGGACCCGGGCCTGTTTCTACCAAGAGCAGCAATCATACTTTCCTCTTGCTGCTGAAAGCCCAAGAGATCCTGAAAAACAAACCGCCTAGTCATCATCATTTCTCACCAGGATGGGAGAGGCAGTTGATCATTGGGCTTGAAGAGGAAAAGAGAGGGAGGCAGACACTTTCTGTATCCTTGATGGTCTGTTGTGCAGCCAGGCAGTGGTTTGTTTTTGTGAAATTGCCACCACCATTCGACTTAACTCAGCACCGAGCAAGAGACATACAAAGTGGGAGTTGGACTAAGCTGATGATGCTTGCAATCAAGAACCAATTTGTAAGCGGAGCAGAAATGACATGTTTTAGCCGTGGTAACAACACTGGAGGGTTCTGATGTTGTGCGAGTGATAGTTTCATAGGACTGCTATCTGAAATGAGTGGAGTGCTTTGATGTGTTTTGTGGTGATGAGCATGAGCCATGTTGTGAAGTCCAATTGAACATGGAACACATGCCAAATAAAATGTTTTCCTGGAGTTCAATCAGGACAACAAGCTACTCAACAATCAGTATCACATGAGCTAAAGCTATAGTTTTCTGGCTGCCATTTCAAAAGCTTGTATACCTTTGACTTTTCTATATATGTAACAAGCTTCTATTTATTGGGCTATAAGACTGTTTGCTGCTATACGATACATTCTTTGAATAGAAATGACAGGTTTTATCACTGAAGTTTTGAAAAGTAAATATATTTGTATTGTTTTTCAGATTAAAGAGGCCTTTCTGTATATATTTCTATAGAGTAGGGCTTTATAGAAGAGGTGTGAGGTGAGAAACAGACTGGATATATTTCTTTTTTCATTTTTCTTTTTTGTTTTTGCCAGCCTGTTGGGATTAGGGATTATATATTCCTTCAGATAGTGATAGATGGTGATATCTGAGGTCTTTGATCAATCAAGAACATTACATAAAGTAAGTTTAGCTTTAAGTCTTTACCACCCACCCACACAAAAGCAGTAGTAAGTCTTACTTAGTAGTAACCCTAGTGTCTTGTCAGGGAATGAAAGGGAAATTCTTGGTATAGCTACCCCCCCCCCAGGTTCATGCATTCTAAATATATAAAGTTAATAATTAAGGTCTTTTTCAGTAATTTTGGTTGTTGTTGTTGATAGTTTTGAAATTTTGTACATTTTAAAACATTTCCATTCAGAAATACCTTAGACTAGAAATGTGTATGGACATGTAAGGTGTGTATGTGTGTGTATAAAGTGGGAACTTTTTAGAGGTACATTAAAATGAGCAAGCATGGGAATAAAGCTAAGTGCTTTAGGATTGGTCAAAAGTCAGGAAAAACTGGGCAATTTAACAAAAACAAACTTTTTTTTTATTTTTACTTGGCAGAATTTGCAAGGCTGTATTTGAGAGATTTCTTCTTCCTTTCTTTTCATTTTACAGGGCAGCTTGAGAAGCAGCCATCAGATTTCTCCCCAGGAATTCCTTAGTGAGCTGAAGTCAGGGGTCATGGATGAACGTCTGTTTTCCTGTCTAGACTCACTGCGAGTGTCCCTTACCAGCAACCCCGTCAGGTATGGTACAAGATTCTGACAGTAAAAGTGGACTTGCCCTCTTTAGGTTTAATTCCCCTCTCTTGTTGCTGGTAGTTTATTATTTGACAGTACACTGTACGGGGACACCAGACTATATACCTTTCTTTATGTAGTATTTCTGTCTCTTATTTTCTCCTCTGTAAGTTCTATTACTTCAAATTTAGTTCATATTAATCTAATCATCCTTTAATCATGTTTTTGTGTGTTTTTTTTTTTTTTTTTTTTTTTGGCGTGCAAGTTTAAGTGTTTTGCTGTCATAATGGCAGGTGTCAGTTATAAAATGTCCAGTCAGTATTGTTGCTAACACACTGACATGTTGTGATGGTTGATGCTTTATTGCATCTTTGAAGCGCTAAAAGCAAACAAACAACTAAGACCAGCTCAATACTGACCTGTCATGTGTCACTCCTGTCTGGTTGCACGCCAGCATCTTGTAGAAAGTTGCCTGCTTGCATTATAAGTATTACTGCCCTCAGCTACTTAAACTGTTTGTGGAAAAAGTAAACAAAAAAACAAGATTTCTTGAAGGTTTAGGTGCCACACATTAGGTTTGATCAGGTTATTTAACCAGTGTCTGTCTTCTCATATTTTTGAGTATTCTCATTCCATATTTATAGTAATCAGATAAATACTAAGATGAACTCTATTTATATATGTTTTGGGAAAATAAATGTGTATTAAATGCAAAAACATTTGTTGGAAGGTTGCTGCCAGAAGGTGCTTAATTACTTCAGTTATTTAGTTACTGTTGCAATGAGAGGGCTCTTTCACTCTCATTTCTCTTTCACAGTCATTTTCTGTGACAATGACATTTTTAGCAGTCTTTCTTAATCTTGTCCTCTAGACCATGCACCATATTTTGAACTGAAGCAGTAGCATCAGCATCATTCAGTGCTCAGTTTGTGTTCATATTTACATCTTATATTGGTAATAATATTTTTTTTTACTTTCGTGTTAACTTTGAGCATAGTTTTCTCTATTTGTAAGGTTAATCTGATGGCAGAAATGAGTCTTACAGCCTAGCAATCAATACTGCCTTTTAGCAGTTTCTGTTTTGTTAAAGAAGAGTGATTAAACTGTAAATTTTGTATCAATATTGATCTAGGTGACTATAATAAATGTGGGTATGTCTGTGAAGGTTCTCAGGCGTCCAGGTCATCGTAGTCTAAGGAGCTTGGAAAGAAAAGCGTGTGGGTAATGTAGCTATGGTGTAACTTATGTGCCAGTCACAATGCTAATGTGGCTCTATGACTAAACCTCACTTCAAAACTGTGTTAGACTGCACTGATAGGTACTTTATGTACTCTGTAATGATGTTAAAACTTTGATTCCAACGATCGGACACTGCTTTGTGGTTTGAATGGTCGGCACAGATACTGAATGAAGTCACCACTCATGATGACAGACTGTCAGTCTTTTGTAAAATAACACCGTCTGGTTTCATCAGAACTCTACCTAAGCTGAAAACATTGGTTTGGATGTTGATCAGTGGTTTTTTTTCCTTCCCCCTCTGCACTGAAGCAAACAGCTTACACATTTTCATAATATAAGGGTTATCTTACTAGTATAGGTTATAAGACTTTTACGCTTCCTGATCATTCTCTCTGTGCTAGAGCATGCAAGCTGAGTTAATTTGGTACTAATTTGGCACTTTTACAGTCTCACAGTGTGATTCTCGACTCCTTTACTGTATCCACCGCAGCCCCCCCCCTTTCTTTTTTTTTTTTTTTAAAGGAAGGCCACAGTGCTAGACCACAGGACCAGCAAAGCTACAAAATGCAATTGTATTAAATGGATTTGATAAATGGATCTGACAAACAAGTGGAAATTGGTTTTTCATTTTTTATTAAAACTGACCTTCAGGTTTAAGTGCTCAGTTTTTTTTTGTTTTTTTTTTCAGTTTAGCTATATAGTAAAGTTTAGCAACAATGTGAAAAGAAACCTTGAATGCTCTTCCTGTCATATACAACTACCCATGAACAACATGTCAAAATATGCAAACTGATTATACACATAAAAATAGTTATGGAAAGTATAAGAAAAGCAAGGCTGAGATGGTTTGCACACGTACAGAGAAACAATCGTGGATATATTGGATAAAGGATGTTGAAGATGGAGCTGCCAGGGCCACAGAGAGTGTTGGATGTAGTGAAGGAGGACATGCAGATGGTTGATATGACAGAGGAGGATACTAGGGATAGAATGAGATGTGGGCAGATGGTTTGCAGTGGAGACACCTAAAGGTAAGAATGCCTTACCTGTGTCATTAGTTAATTGTACTTCCATATGCTGCAGCTTAATGGTTTTTATTGAGGTTGTAGTTTGCAGTGGTTTTAAAACAGACTGTATTTTAGGGACTGGTAATTCAATGTTTAGCTCATCCTCATTTATAATCTATGTTACATTTATTTATGATCTATGTTTTAGGAGTACTGTATTCTTAGTAGTCAGTGAGAACAATGTCATTCATTGCCCACTCTGTGAAATGACCCCTTTTTGTATTGCAGATGTTCCACATTGCTGCAATTTTAGCCTCCGCCTTCTGTCCCTAGAGAGCCCTCCTGTAGTCAGTTAACGTGCTATGAACAGGACAACATTTTAAAGTTAATTTTTTATATCTGGTTCATAACCGCCTAAGCAGAGTGCAACACTGTGCTGCACTGCCTGGGAACCTTGGAGCCATTCTCCTGAGACTGCGTTAGAAGTCAAGCTACCTTAGCTGTGAAGTTAGCCAGATAAGGTGCCTCATTTTTCTCTTTGATTTATGACTGTTTTTGTTTCCCATGGAGAGGGATGATTAATTTGTTTTCTTTTTTCAATGCTTTTTCCCTTATTCCCTTTTTCGTGTCTTTCTGGAAATGATACCCCTCAGTTAAATATTGCTGTGCTTCTTTTGCATCTGATGATGGTGTGCTGTGATTACAGTAAGGCTGTAATCAGTGAGCGTTAATAAATCCTCAGTGCTACGTGTAAATATCAAATAGAAAATGGAAAAATCGCACTTGGAGAGCTGCTACTCAAGAAAAAATAGAGCGAACTGATCAGTAGGTCCCAGCTTTTTCAGAGGTTTTAGAGTTCACCTCTGCAATTAAATCTTCCATAAAATTCAAAATTATAATTTTGTAATAATATAATTATCATTATTATTCAGATAAACACGTGGAGCTCATTTTTATTGCTCGTGATTGTATATTTATAAAAAAAAATCAAAGCAAATGATGTAGCTCTGTTTTTTTTAAAGTCAGAAACATAGCTGTATTTTGGCACCAATGTATGTGAACCTACATACACTACATGGACAAAAGTACCGGACCCTATGCCTTTTTAAATTCGGGTGTTTTCAGTCCTGTTGCCACAGGTGATAAAATCAAGCAACTAGCCGTGCAGTCTGCCTTTACAAACATTTGTGAAAGAATGGTTCATTCTAAAGAGCTGACTGAATTAGTGTGAGACTGTAATAAGATTCCATTATTGCAGTGGAAGTATTTGAGAACAACAGAAGCTCCATCACGAAATGGCAGACCACATAAAGGTACATAGTGGGTCGCTAAGTGCCGAGGGGTATAAAAAGTCACCATCACTCGGTGATTGCAGAGATCCGGACCTTTTCTGACATTAACATAAGCACAAACACTGCAGTGTGAGCTTCATGGTGTGGGTTTCCATGGCTGGACAGCTCCTGTAGGTGAAATATGTAGGGAGCCGTCTTCCGGTTGTTATATGGCATGTGTTACATTTAGCACAATACATACCGGCTGAATTGGATTTGGCACATTGGAGTGCAGGTATCTGTTGACAAGGGAGATGCAAACCAGGGGTCCGTTCTTCGTACCTCGCTTACTACATCCAAGATCAAATCATCGCGCTTACTTTGAGCTCGCTATTCCGGTTCTTCGAACACACCTGTAGTTGACGATTAGTATAGCTGGATGAAGTAATGTGAGATCACTGGGTGGCTTAACAGGGGCTACGCATCGATAGTAGAAACATTGATCGGCAACCCTTTGATTGGTCGGCGAAAATGTCGAAGGAGCGCGCTCGGTATTTTTCGGCAGCAGAGGAAGAACCCTTGATTGAGGGATTTCAGGAGTTTCAGAGTTTAATTAAAAGGGCGACCGTGGCTCAGGGGGTTGGGAATTGCATCTGTAACCGGAAGGTCGCCGGTTCGATCCCTGGGCTCTCTGTCCTGGTCGTTGTGTCCCTGGGCAAGACACTTTACCCTACTTGCCTACTGGTGTTGGGCAGAGGGGCCGATGGTGCGATATGGCAGCCTCGCTTCTGTCAGTCTGCCCCAGGGCAGCTGTGGCTACAACTGTAGCTTGCCTCCACCAGTGTATGAATGTGAGAGTGAATGAATAGTGGCATTGTAAAGCGCTTTGGGTGCCTTGAAAAGCGCTATATAAATCCAATCCATTATTATTATTATTATTATTATTAAAATGCAAGGGAACACTGCAAAGGCTGCAAAAGCAAGGAGAGAGGGCTGGCAGAAAGTTGCTGACAAATTAAACTCGTAAGTAATTTAATAATAATAATAATAATAATGGATTGGATTTATATAGCGCTTTTCAAGGCACCCAAAGCGCTTTACAATGCCACTATTCATTCACTCTCACATTCACACACTGGTGGAGGCAGCTACGGTTGTAGCCACAGCTGCCCTGGGGCAGACTGACAGAAGCCAGGCTGCCATATCGCGCCATCGGCCCCTCTGGCCAACACCAGTAGGCGGTAGGGTAAATTTATTATATTATATTATATATATTATATTACATTATATCCTCTTTCACATTAGAGCCACGACAGGACCCACTAGAACATGGGAACAAGTAAAAGTGAAATATAAGAATATTCTACAGAATGGTAATATTTATCACTTATATTGCTTTTAGTCTCTTGAAAAGAGACCCTGAAATAATCTGTTTGTTTATAACAGCAACCAAGAAAAGGGCAGAGCAAAAAAAGACAGGTGGTGGTCC